TGAGATTAATTAAATGCACATTTAAGTTTTCTTTAAAACGTGAGATAAATTTGAATGAATTTAAAATGTGAAACTGATATCTCATCAAGAAAGATGTATAATCAAGACACATAGATCAGTAGTTGTAGCTTGAGTTTTTAAAACAATCATACAAGTGGACAGTTATTATTGATTATTCATTGCCAACTTTTCAACACAAATTTATTAATTTTTATGAAATTCTCCTAATTAAAGAGCATTTAGCACCACATTGTATTAGCTTAAGCAATTAATAATGATTCTTGATATGGCTGTACTAATTGCATGGGGGTGATGACAACAAACTGTTACTCTAAATTCCATGGCATTACTATATACTGTTTTAGAGAGGAAAAAGTATCATCATATATTCTAAAGAATCTGGTTGGTTCTGTAAAGTAAAGGTCTGTTCCAAATAATAGGGTTGCGATCCTAAAGCTAATGTGGGTTACTATCGGGTGTCACCTTCTTAATTGCTGTGGTTTGTTGGTGTGTATTGACAAAATGTCATGATATCTAATCAAAAATACCTTAGGTGCAAAAAAAAAAGGTGTGACCAAAAAAGGACTGAGTGTGACACTTAAAAACATGAAATCAAAACTGGTGGCCAAATGGGTAGCTACAATTATAGCATTGATAACATTATATAGCAAATATTCATTCATTAGTTAGCTAGACCATGTATTTTGTTTTATCCACCATCATACCCCAAGTTGAACAAAAAGTTTGGTCTGATTAACTAATGAATTAATATTTGCTGTAAAATTCTTATCAATGCTATAAGTGTAGCTACCAGATTGGCTGCCACTTTTGATTTCATTTCTTTTAGTCACACACTAAATCTTTTTTTTGGCCACACCTTTTTTTTCACACATGAGGTGTTTTTGATTATATATCACTTAGAAGTGATGTTCCATTCATACAAGATACATATATTTACCTAAATAATTGCTATAGATTTATCATATATATATATATATATTTCTAAAAGAGAATTCAAACTGGTAAATAACATACCAATATGAAAAACAATCAAATGTACATATTAAAAACAATCATATATGTGAATTATAATAACACAAACTATAGCAGTTAAAAAAAGAACCATCATCAAATTTTCCCATAAAATATTCTTTACTCATTCAATCTCTACCTATTTTTCCAGATTTCTGACAACTTTAGATTTTCTACTAGTTTACCAACAAATGAAATACTTTTGCCTAGTTCTCCAGTAATTATCTGGTTCAGAATTCAATAGTTTTTACATACGTTGAACAGTTCAATTAATTTATACTCAGTTTCTAGCAATCCAGCTTTTACTTATTTAATAAATGAAACAGGTTTTCTCTAGTTATCCGACAAATTACAGTCTTTACCTAGCTTTCCAATAAATGAAATGTATTTATCTAGTTTTCACTAACTCAGGTTTTTACTCAGTTTCCAACAATTCTAATACATTACACTTAGTTTCTAGTTATGGTTGGAGATGGCTTGAATGGGTAATGAAAAAAACTTTAATATAAGTTTAACATAACAGCAAATGTACAGTGTTTCGACAAGGTTTACCCATTCAAGCTGTCTCCAACCATTATTAGTCTCAAAGTGGGTTCCTCGTCATCGAATTAGTTTCTTATCTATCTTTCCAATAATTGAAATGTACTTATCTAGTCAACCAAAAGTTCAAAGAGCATCTGCTTAGTTTCCAGTAATTCACTTTTATCTAGTTTATCAAACTTAAAAAAATAGTTTATACTAGTTTTCCTGCAATTAAAATGCATATATCTAGCATCCCTACCTTTGAAATAATTTTTTCCTATATTTTCTTTACAATCTTACATCAAGCTTTGCAATAGTCTAGTCTTTACCTTTGCAACAATTTAAGCACATTTCACATAATGTTCACTGAAAATTTGACTAATAATTCAATCAAGAAATTAAAAATTTAAAAACAACTCAAAAGATAAATCTTTGCTTAAAATGCCACAAAAAATTAAATGTATATATATATAAATATCACTCAGAAAGAAATCCCACCAGGGAGTCAAACATGATTGTGGCACAAATTTCATTGTTTTAAAACTCAAGCAGTCTCAGTGCAACAAAAGCTTTCTAGCATTGTACACTGTGAGTCACAATTTAAAAGTTTCTAAAGCAGAAATAATTTAAGCGATAAGACATACAACTAAAACATAGCATTAAAAAATTAAGAAAAAAGAATGACAAATTAATTATTTCAAACTATACTAAAAATATTCTACACAACACAGTAAGACTTTATTTCAAAAGACAATATTCCAAGTACAGCTTAAACTTTATTGAGAAAAAAAAACTATGTTAAAACATGTACATTATTGCAGAAAATATGTTCCACATAATAACACAAGTATTACTGCAGAAAACAATTCTATGTAACAACATAGTATTACTACAGAAAAAATACTCCATGTAACAAGATAAACATTGCTACATAGAAAAATACCAAATACAGCATACTCTTAAACATTACTAATACGTAATGCTTATATCAACTTAAGTTTAACTACAGAGAAAGCTTATAAAGAAGATTCTTTCAAGCATTATTAAAATGTAACTACTGCATATAACAACTCAAGCATAACTACAAATAAATATTCCAAGTAATGCCCTCTTCAGTAATATTAAAATATAGCCACTTCATGTAACAAAAGCATCCTAAAGAGAAATATTCCAAGTAATGCCCTCTTGAGTAATATTAAAATATAGCCACTTCATGTAACAAAAGCATCCTAAAGAGAAATATTCCAAGTAATGCCCTCTTGAGTAATATTAAAATATAGCCACTTCATGTAACAAAAGCATCATAAAGAGAAATATTCCAAGTAATGCCCTCTTGAGTAATATTAAAATACAGCCACTTCATGTAACAAAAGCATCCTAAAGAGAAATATTCCAAGTAATGCCTTCTTGAGTAATATTAAAATACAGCCACTTCATGTAACAAAAGCATCATAAAGAGAAATATTCCAAGTAATGCCCTCTTGAGTAATATTAAAATACAGCCACTTCATGTAACAAAAGCATCCTAAAGAGAAATATTCCAAGTAATGCCCTCTTGAGTAATATTAAAATATAGCCACTTCATGTAACAAAAGCATCCTAAAGAGAAATATTCCAAGCAACATCCATTTAAGGATTATTAAAATATAATGACTTCATGTGACAAATACAATCTACAGAGAAGTATTTCATGTAATGTCCTTTTAAGCATTAATATAGAGAAATTATTCTATAATACTACTACACATGAAACATTTTTCATGGAAATATATTTAAAGTTGTAAGTAGTTTTTGACTATAAAACATTACAAATAACAATATCTAACATTAGAAAAACACTGATAGCCAATTTTCTAGTGTTTTAGAATCATCTAAAGTAAGAACTGAAACTTTAAACAAAACTGAGAATGCCCTGTACAGCCTAATAAAACCACACCTGTCTGTCACTACTTTCTGAGCTACTGATTCGTTGTTTCCATGACTTCAGTGCTTGCCAAATCTTTTCTTGATGGGCTTCACCAATTTGCAATTGCTTTAAATCCTAAAATAAAAACAGATTTTTCAGCTAACAGAATATTATGGAATGGTAATATGATGTATAAGATTCATAAAAAGCAAAATATTTTTGTTTGTCTGTTTGGGTTGATTTCATGAACTGCCTACTTCTGAAAAAAAAAGTGCCTATAGATCTTAATCACCTTTTACAAATGCACAAGTCAATTCTTTCTCTAAATTTGAAGATTTCTGTTGGGTTTGATTATATTGTTATATTCTTATATGTAAGCTAATAATTATTTCTTTATGATAACTTATAATCAATGTACTAATTAGTATATTCCTAAATATATATTATAATAATTACTTCTTTATGATGATTTTTAATCAATGTATTAATTAGTATATTCCTAAGTACATAATAATTATTTCTTTATGAGTGTTTATGAAAATCCTTTTGAAATGTGTGTATGAATGCTATTTTCTTAGATTTAGATTAACAGTTTGGCTGATATATAAAATTGCTTTTATGTAGTTTTCCTTGGTTTGTAAATCTAACTTAATATACCATTCTCAAGTAATTTCTACTTGAGAATATATCTTATTTAGAGCTTCTTTGTAAAATTTAGGTTAAGAACATTGTTGACTTAATATCCTGAGAGGTTATTCTAAATGTTTTATTGAGTAAATAGTAAATTTAACATACCAGAAACATTAATCAAGTTAATTATGAATAATTTCCAATTATAAGCATGTTGCAAAAGACTCAGGAGAAATTGGAACTTCAACCCACTGACCTATTATATTTAGATACTGTTGAGAAAATGTATGCATAATAAAGGAACTGTTTGTAGTTCTTATATACAACCTTCAATTTACAATGTTTCAATTAAGATGGAAATCTTGTATCAATCCTATAAGAACTTAACAAAACACCCATTATATATTCTGTGCTAGAATTCCATCACTTTTTATCAACAAAACAGCTGATAACATATCCACATTGTGGTGACATCAACATTTTTTTATGCTGTAAGTACTTAAAGTTCATAGAAAAACAGCTTGGGTGTTACAAACTAAAAGAAGATTTCATCCAACTTAACATAAATATAACAGCTTCACACTCTCACTTCAATTATACAGCAGTGTTTATGTAATAACAAGTTTTATTTTGTTTTGTGCACCTATCACATTACTTTTTAACTCAATAAACAACAGATGTTACTGTAAACTTAAGAGTGGAAAAAAAGCTGACATCTGGTTATTTAACTTTTAAAATTCATAAAATATAAAGTTATAATTAGGTTATACATATTCTTCTCCAGAGTTTAATCTGATAAACTTATTTTACCTCATATGTCAATTGCTGCAACTGTGTCATTGTATGTAAGTTTCTCTCAGTGAATCTGTCTAGATACGCTACCAGGCCTAAGGACCATAACCACCTGAATGAGGAACAAATAAACATTACTGGACATTTAATTGTCCAAATGAGTGTTATACTTCAGAGTGAATGACAACAACATCGACTTAGCATACTTTAGCAAATAAAAAACAATTTTTTTTATTCAATCTCTAGCAATTTACACTACAAAAGCTTTTTTCTTTAAATTAATAATTTCATACAGTGAATGTACTCATGGAGAAATATTTACTGAAAAGTGAAAGAGATTCAACTTTAGTGTCAAATTGATAATTTAAGAATTCAAATCACTTTATCAATTGAGTTCTACTTCTTATAATACAATAATTCATAATGTATAAATATTTTTCATTTTAGATCAGAAGCTCAGATTATCATTCTAGAAAAATGAGTTATTTTCTAAACAAACTTGATTTTACTATCAAAATTATTGTTTCATCCATAAGGATACTTTCAACAAAGTTGATTTTCACTTGCTACTGTTTCAAACAATAAGATACTTTCAACAATGCCAATATTGTCTAAAATAAATGTCTTGAAAGTAAACAGAACTTCACTTGTTACTGTTTCAAACCATAAGGTACTTTTTACAGTCCTAGTTTTTAAAACTTAATTATCTTAAAAAGAACAGGACTTTACCTTGCAACCATTTCATCTTTAGCCAAATCTTTATCATTACTGCTGCTTTTTTGTTTTTCAGACTTAATGGTTGTGGAACTGTCTGGAGCAATAATGTCATCTGATCTAAAAATTATAAAACAGCATGTTCTACATGAAATAAAAAGTGCATTATTATACCTTATTTTTATGTGATACAATCTGGATATCTCATACCTTTGTACTACAGGGTTGCACAATATATAAGTCAGTTTTCTTTTGCACTACATAATTCCAAGAAACCTAATGTTATACAACTATATGTTGAACTACAGAAAATGTAAACATTTAATATAACATTACAACAAAATTCAAAGTTCTCATTTATACTTTTACAACAAAATATCTCCTAACCATAATTACCAACATATGACCCAGATCTTAATACTTGAAACAATTACAAATAATATTTTTATATAAACTAATACAATCATCAAAAGTTTACAATTCATTGCAATCAATTTTGAGTACTTGGAATTATGCCTACAGTTCACAGAATGCTTAATTTATTTTTTAACTTCCACCTACATTCCAAGTTTTAAACTTTAATTTTTTAGCATTATATAAACACAACACTTCAATTTCTAATTACAATGAACTCTTCTTAAGTTTTGAACTCCTACCTTATGTTTCATACTGCAATTATTTCAAATTTTAGTCTTTCTTCTACACTTGTACCTACAGTTTCCACAATAAATATTTTAGTCTTCAAAGATTTACCTACATTTATGCTACACATGTAGTACTTTCCAAAGAAAATTTTTCACTCTTCATACCATTGTATTGTGTTATATCTTTGTACAGGTTCTTCTGGATCATTACATAAAAATAATGCAAAAATCCAGTTCACTTATCAATAACAAATTCATTTATTTCTTCAAAAACATTTTATACAGGCTATGGGCTACAATCAATGGTAGGATTAACTTTAACAGAAAGTTGGAAAGTAATGTACTTACAAAACTTTCCTTATTAACTGAGTGATAAACACATTGACTAACTAACTAACTGGATCATTGGCAAACAGACTAACTAACTCTCGCTGATTAACTCTAAAACTCTTTAACTGACATTGAACTTTATCAATGAAGTCTCACTCACTCAGTCTAGTATTACATTAGTTATATATATCACAGAAATCTTTGAGATCCCACAGAAGGCTAAGCTGTCATGAAACTTCTAGGCTTCATACAATCATTACATCATGTACAAAGCTCCCTCTAGTGAAAAAAACAATAAAATAATTAAAATATAGCTCCAATGATACTTTTATTTACATTTATACTACACTTGTATTAAACAAAACATTTGATTATATCATTATACAACCAACCACTGAACTGTTGCTTACCTTTCTTTCGAGTAGCTAGTCATCCCTCCCTCAGATACCAAATATTCTTGTTCAACAGGAATAGAAGTATCATGATAGAGACTTAAATTCTCATTCCTGCTAATAATATAAAAGTATGTGATATTTTGAAATGCTACAATTTACACAGAAAGGCTTTGTATGAAGGTTCATTAAAATGTCTATAATTGTTATAAACTAAAAACTTTATGCTCTGGTAGAAATAAAAAAAGACAGATTTAAAAAACTTGCAAGATTGATTGCAACTTGAAATAAAATATTTTTCAATTTGAAACAGTTATAAGTATGACTGAGCCTCTTACATTGGCATGAAAAATACTATTTTGTGGCATTCAATTTTCGTCACATTATTTAAAAGTAAAACAACTTTACAATAACAAAAAACAAGAAGTGTGAATCCAAGGCAGTTCTTATCATCTTATTTAGAAAAACAAATATTTTTTAAAGTCTTTAATGTCTAAGTGGTAAACTTCTTACTTTGGAGTTTTAAAAACAAAGAAGAGTAAAAAGTTAAGATATGGCCTAGTTTATTACCTTGTGTTAACACAATGTTCAGATGAAGCTGTCTGTGTCCCATAATCAGCTGTTGTTGAAAGAGTCACTTGCCCTGCCTCTGGTTGAGAGTTTTGACTGTTCATTATGGCACTTCTGAAAATTTATGAACTTTATATTTATGAATAAATATCATAACTTTTTTGTATTAACCTCATCTTTATGTATCAAATTAAACTTATATTAAAGAGCTGACTAGTGGTGTAGCATTAATAAAGTTCTAGTGGCAGTCAGAAATAAAAGTTCTGGAAGAAGTCACCAGAAAAACTTCTAGTATAAGTGAGATATATAAGCGTACTATGTGTTTTCTTCCTCCTTAAAGTAATTTAGAAATGTTTTCAGAAGTTATTTGTGCAGTTTCCACATAACACAATGATCAAGAAGATTATTAAATTACTTTTTGTTATTCATCTAGAATAGAACCTTTTGTTTTCCTGTGGTAAAGATAGTTGTAAAGTCACCTGAAGTATATAAAGTTAGGCAGTTATATTTTCCACTGCCACTCAGGTAATCTAGTGAGGTAATAACTTCTCATATGTTTCATTGGGAATTGCCAGTCACACTGGTAGTGCTAGCAGCTCTGAGCAAGTCTGACAATGAGTTAAGTAAGTAAAGTAAGATTTATTCACCCTGGAATAGAATCTAAACAGTCAGTCTAGTACAATCTCTCAGTCAACTTACATTACAAAAGACTTCCATCAAAGGTGACTGTTCATTATGGCAAGTATATTTTTATTGTGTTTGTTTGAATATAGATTGTTTATTATGATTATACATTTGTGTTCAGTCTATCTTTATTTCTAGATCTCAGTTTGTCAAAGAATACAGAAATATTTTGCAATAAATATCTGGATGAATGTCATGTTACTCTGTGGACCTATCTTGTCATTCTTAGAAGAAATCAGTTTTATAAAAAGACCACATATTAGATATCAGCTATGAAAGTTATAAAAATACAAGTAGAAGTTAGTGAAATTTCTATAGAAGGTTGAGTACATAATGTTAATACTAGCCATGACCCTCAAAATATTTGCAGTGGTTTTCATGCTCTTTGCTTGAATTTTCCTTATTCAATCATGCCATTTACGTGTGGCTATCTTGCAGGCATTGTGTTGGATCAATAAATACTGGTCTATTTGAAAACATTTTATGAGATCAGATGAACAAACTCACACAGACGTAACTTTATTTAATAAAAATGCACATAAAGTAAACATTAAAGTATAGTAATGGTATTGTTACGTCTCCATTTGTTTAATTGATTTTCCGTAACTTCGTCCCGACGAAACTTTAGCGA